CGCCATGCCCCCCTCCTTCCTGAGAACCTCCATGCGCCATGCCCCCCTCCTTCCTGAGAACCTCCATGCGCCATGCCCCCCTCCTTCCTGAGAACCTCCAGGCGCCATGCCCCGCTCCTTCCTGAGAGCCTCCAGGGCCCACAACCTGGAGACTCTAGTCTGGAGGCAATGTACCCCAGAGAACAGTCTCCTGAAGATACAGTTGGGGAAACTATCTTCATCCCACCGAGAACACCGATGAGGTCCCTTCCACGGCCAGAGCCGACCCCACCCCTGGACTTCACTGACCTCTTGCCCAATGCCCAGAGCTCAACCCCTCGACCTGCTGACCTCCTGGGACTTCAATAGGAGTCACCGCTGCCACATCTGTCTGGTCTCTTTGGTCTTCACTTGAGACGTCTCCCTCCTCCCAATGCGCCTGATCAGTTCCTCCTTGCCTGTACCTGTGGTTTTGTCACAGGCGGGAAGGACTGCAGGGCGATGGACTCCGTTTGCTCACAACCCAGACCACCCTGGCACTGAAGTTCTGGAAACGCCTCCGGCTCCGTTTACGAGAGCTCCCTTCTCTCCAAGCCCACTGCCTTTGGGGCCAAGGCCAAGACCCTCAGCCCAGGTGACCAGGCCACGGTCCAGCTGGATTTGGGACCCTTTGTCCCTCTTCCCCCTCGGGTCATTTGCTGTGACAGTACAGAGCTCTTGGCCTCCTTACCCCGGCACTGGGTGCCTGAAGGGCGTGCTCACGTCCTGATCTAGCGGGGCCTGCAGCCCGCACAGCACAATGACGTCTCCGTTCCACAGGGCGTAACACCACTCACGCCTTTGAGGCAATGCCGACTTGTGGTGACCCTGTAGGACAGGGAAGAACTACCCATGTGGGTGTCCCAGACCACCACTCTTTGTGGGAGAACAGGGCTCAGCTGTGGGTCCACGGCATTCCCTGCTCTAAGCACGTCCAGCAGCCGCACTGGGGGCTGGGCTGGTGTGCACTGCAATCCCTCCTGCCTGCAGAGGCTCCCAGGCTGCTGCCAACTGCTGTTTCCACAGCCCTGGGGAAAACCTGCGTGGTGGGAAGTCGGGGAACAAGGATAGCCCACCCCCTGGCATGGGGGGGGGGCGGTGGAGACCCGCAACTTCTCTGTGCTCCACGGACTGTGGGGAGATGCTGGACCTGCCTAGTGGAGCCTGCCAGGTGTGAGGGGCAGGGGGATGGCAAGAGCTGGGATGGGCCCCGCAGGACCACAGTGAGCACACTCAGGCCCACCCAGTCTGAGAAGCGGAGGAGGACACAGGGGAAGGTGCTGACTCAGGGTCCCTGGTCCAGTGTCAACCCCACCCCCTTCCCACATCGTGTAACAAGTCCCTGGCCAGCCCTACAAAGAGGACTCTGCTAAGGCCCAAGGCAATCTGTCCCCAGGAAGCCCAGCCACCATGGGCTACAATCAACCACTAGGAATGGATGGGCCCCCTGGGCTGCAGAAGGCCCCAGAGTACTGGGCAGTGGCCCCACCGCTGTGAGTGCTGCCAGGGGGACGACATGCCCTGGGCTTGCAGGAAGCCTCGTGCCCCTTGCTCTGTGGCCCCTGCCTGTTCTGAGCCAGCAGCTGCGCTCAGGAGCCGAGGCCAGGTAGGACCGGCTCAGTGTGGCTCATTCCGAAGTCTGAGGGTCCAGGCAGTGCCGAGCAGCTGAGTCCTGTGAGTTCCAGCAAGCATCCCGGAGGAAAACCTGTCCTTGGATCCAGAAGCTGCCAGGGTCACCTGGTGGGATCAGCAAGCACAACTGCTGGGCCCACAGCTGGGCCCTGCGCATTGCCGGCACCCCACGCCCGACTTATTACTGTAGGGCTTGGGGGAGCTGTTTGTTCCTTGGATATGGTCAACACTGGGTCCCAAATTAGCCAAACAACGTCGCTGGGGACTTCTTCCCTGTGACTCCCAGGGGCCTGGGGACAGCCTGACCCGGGCCGGCACCCTGTGGTGTGGTCCAGCCCCCTCAGGACTACAGGTCTCTGTCTCTGGGCCTAGCTTCTTCCTGTGCAACATAAGAGCCAGGAGGCCAGTCCCTGCTCAGCCAGCCACAGGCTTGCTCAAGAAGGAATGGAGCCTACGGTATCTCCAAACCCGGCCAAACTCACTGCCGACTCGCAGAGACCTTTTAGGACAGGGTGGAACGGCCCCTGTGGGTTTCCAAGACAGTAACTCTTTACGGGGGACAGAGAGAGAGCCTTGTCTTTCTCTCTCGAGTGGCTGGTGGTTTCAAACTGCTGACCTTGTGCTTAGCAGCCGAACATGTAACCACTTCTCTAGCCAGATGGCGTTCCTTCTTCCTCCCCCATCTCAGAGTGTGCTTATCTCTGCATGACCCAGGGCACCCAGTGTCAGTTTCCAGCACACTGGCTGCCCCACCCTCAGCTAAGGTGCCCAGAAGCTCCCTGGAGAGATGCCATCACCTCTGTTTGGTGCTGCTGGGGCCTGCAGTGTCAGGGACAGGGCTTTTCCCAGCTGCCCCAGTGGCACATCGTCAGCACCATTTCACGGGCCAGGGAGCTGAGGGCCGGAAGGTAGGAGCTCCCAGGTCACACAGCTAGCAAGGGCACAGGCTAGCTCTGTCCTGCCTCTCACCTGGACAGCCCGGCCGGACACCTGTAGCACGCCTGACCACACCATGAGAACAAGCCTGTCCCTTCCAGAGCCTGGAGGACGTGGCAGACCGTGGGCGAGTCCCGGATGAGCAGGAGCCAGGTTGTGTGCCGATGAGAGAGGCGGGGTTCACCAAGTTCGTGCTGGTGAAGGGGATGGGGGTTCGTGGAGAATAGGGGACCCCTAAGAGGAGGTAGGGGGGACATGGGTCAGACGGTGGAACATGGACTTGGGGCTGGAGACAGTGGAAGTCCCGTGGGTGCCATAACCGACGTCCCACCTGGCAAGTGGCCTACAGATGGCTGGGTGAGATGCCCCCCGGGGGCCTGCTTTCATTTTATTGCCTTGGCAAATCAGGCTCCTTAGGGCAGCCTCAGTTTCCCCACTGCATCCTGCACCGACCTTGTGGTTTGGGGCTGCCGCATCCCCAGGGCGTGTGGGTGGGGCTCAGAGATCTGAGCTGCTGTTTGCAGACCTTTCTCCTCTCACACTAGTACACCTTGCTGGTACACCACCTTGATAGTACACTTTGCAAGTACGCATTATTAGTACACCACCCTGCTGGTAAACCACCTTGCTAGTACACCTTTTTAGTACACCACCTTTCTAGTACACCACCTTGCCAGTACACCTTGCTCGTACACCACCTCCCTAGTACACCACCTTGCCAGTATACCTTGCTAGTACACCACCTTGCCAGTATACCACCTTGCCAGTACACCTTGTAGTACACCTTGCTAGTAAACCACCTTGCCAGTACACCTTGTAGTACACCTTGCTAGTACACCACCTTGCCAGTACACCTTGTAGTACACCTTGCTAGTACACCACCTTGCCAGTACACCTTGCTAGTACACCACCTTGCCAGTACACCTTGTAGTACACCTTGCTAGTATACCACCTTGCCAGTACCCCTTGCTCGTATACCACCTCCCTAGTATACCACCTTGCCAGGCCAGTACACCTTGCTAGTACACCACCTTGCCAGTACACCTTGCTAGTACACCACCTCCCTAGTACACCACCTTGCCAGTACACCTTACTTGGAGTGGTGGTTATTTGCCACAGAGTTAGTTCGAGGGCAGAGGGCAGACTAGAACAGCCCCAGGGGGCTCCCAGGCCTGGCAGCCTTTCCAGAAGCAGATGTCTGGATCTCCCTCCCGGGAAGTCTGGGAGTTAAAACCGTCAGGCCTTCCTTGTGGTTAGCTGCTGAGCACGTCACCACCACACTAGGGTGCATTCTCTCTGCTGGGGGTTTGGGTGAAAAATAAGACTGAGAGATTTTTCTAAAGCATCAATAACCAAACCAGCACAGTGCTCTCGAGTCAAGGCTGCAAACCTTCACCAGAGCAGACAGCCTCAGTTTTCTCCCAAGGAGCAAGCGGGTGGGTTTGAACATGGGACCTGGAGATGAGCAGCTTACCCGACCGCGACCCCAGGGCTCCTCTGCAGCAGAAAAGGTAGGCCAGAATCAGCCCCGTCTGAGAGACAGACGGACAGGGTCTAGGTTACCCGAGAAGGAGCTGGCGATGTTTTCATACTGCAAGCTGCGCAAAAGGAATTTAAATCCACAAAGCTGCTTACGTGTGTGGATTGAACGGGTGCTAAGCATGGCGTCTCAGACACCCGCACACTAGGGCGTGTCACGTGGTAAAGACCGGAGAGGCCGCCCGCGGCTCCCAGCCCCCAGGGAAGGGCTCTGCAGAGGAGCGTGCAGCTGCAATCGGACAGAGAAAAGACTCCCTCCTAACTCCCTGCAGACAAGTTCATGTCCACGCGCAGAGAAGCTGGATCTGAGGCTGTACCTATATGGGAAGTACAAAGCCTCATCTTCCTCCCGCACAGCAGATGGTGGTTTTGAACTGCTGACCATGTGGTTAGTAGCCCAATGCATAACTGCCAGGCCACCAGGGGCCTTGACCCTGCCTCAGGGGTTGGACAGCTAGTTCTGAGGTACACACGTCAAGAGCTCTGCGAATCAGATAGTCCAGCCCAGGCTTAAAGAGGCAGCCTCTCTCCTGCTCCCCCTGGCGTAAGTCGGAAAAGCATTGAACCTCAAGGTTGGCAGTTCAAAACCCAAGGGCAGTTTCTCTGAAGAAAGATGAGGCTGTCTACTCCCATAATGATTTCAGCTTCAGAAGCTCTATATGGGGGTCTAGATGAGCCAGAATTGACTTATGGGCCATGAGTTTCCAATTTACGCGCATCTTGGTGGAGTGGTGGGTAAACGCTGGGTTGCTAACCACAAGGTGGGCAGTTCAATACCACCAGGTGCTCCATGGGAGAAAGATGAGGCTCTGTGTTCCCTTAAAGATTTACAGTCCCTCCGGGGCCAGGGTGAGGCACCCCATCAGACTAGATCAGAAAACACTCCTAAAGATCAACAAACAGACCTTGAACTATTTATAAGCTTTTCTTTCTTTTCTTTTGTTGCCCTCGGAGTTGTTGTTGTTTTGTTTTCTTTTGTTGCTTTGTTTTGCTCTATCTTGGTTTTTTTGGGCATAATATTATCTCTGCAGGTCTATCTAGATAAGATAGGCGGGATAAACAATCTGGAGGAGAAAACAACGGGACTCAGGTTCCTGGGGGACATGGGAGAAAGGGAGGCAGGGGAAAGGACGTGGTGTTAACAAACCCAGGGGCAAGGGAACAACAAGTGATCCAAAA